ACTCGTAAACTTACGTAGTTTTACAACGTAATACTCTGAAATATTACAAAAATCGTAAATCTACAGAATATTACGCCGCATTTAAATTCCAGATGTAGAAGAGAAACATAAAATATTTTAGTTTTTGTGATTATATTTTTATATGCACAAAAGAAAAAAATGCTTATTGTGAAATTAGTATGCAAAATCACATGACTAAAATCTGATAATTTATCATAGGCTAATGTATATATTCAAATATTTTAAATCATGTATTTACAAATATATTATTAATAAAAAATTTTTTGTAATTTTAACAAATTTATTTATTAAGAAAAATATTAATAAAATTATAATAAAATTTATAATTAAAATTTAAATATATTTAAATAAAGATAATATAATACTTATTAATAGCAATTTTTTTTATATTTATAATAATATTTTTAAAAAATATATATATATTAGAAAATTTATAAGTTTAAAGAATAATCAATATAAAATAATAATATATATATTTTTTTTTATTAATATAAAATATAATAATCTAATTACATTCAAATAAATTTTTTATTTATAAATTATATATATTAATAAAAAATTTTAATCTATTTTAAAGATGGACGCTGTAATTATATTACCTTAATTAAAAGTAGCAACTTTTATAGTAGTTGCAACCTAAATTATAGTTGCAACCTAACTTAAATAATAACTTATAATTAGTTGTAACCGTTTGCTCTATTTAATTAATTGCAACTTATTGTAACACAGTTGTATTATTTATGATACTTGCAACTTAATTATAGTTGCAACCTAATTTTAAATTGTATTTATAACTGGTTATAACCTGTTAACTAGTTAATCTTTTTAATAAAACACATTCAAATTTTATTCATTTATCAAATTTAAATTTTTATTTGTAAATACATAAAATTAACTTCATTAGATCATGTGACTTACACGATATTTTATTAAATTTAATAAATATTTTGCGATGAAATAGCCCATTTTAAAATGGCTAATGTTTAGTTACTACCAAGACGTGATTACTAACCCACACCATCTTTAACACTATATCCAGCCCCTCAAAATTCAATGTAATTTTCAGGGGCTTCGACCCACGATCTTTCCTAACACTAACTCCAATCACACGCACCCAGTTCTTCAAAAGCGTTCTCCGTCTCAAGTAGACGGTTCATGATTATTACAAGAAAAGGAGCCGACATTGTAAGTACAAGTACCTTTGAAAGCTTCTTCCGAATTCAAAGTTGCAAAGAAATTAGAGGTATTGGATAATAAGAAAATAAAGATATTTTTAAGAAAAGCAAAGAATGTAAGAATGTGGGAAAAACAAAAAATACGGAGTTGATTTATTAAGATAATTTTTTAAAAAAAATTAACGCAACATCATTGCAGAATAAAAACATTTGATACATCGTATGAAATTCTAAAGACGACAAAATTCAGGGAATGCATAGAATTAGCGGTTGGATAGGATTATTTTTTTCACCCAAGTCAAATTCCCAGTCTATTTTAATTCTTGTTGAATTTTTTTTGCTTTTTAAAGGCCCAACTCACTTTCTTTACCTCCATCCTTATGAATAAGGAATGCCCAAGATAATCTCCGTAGTGAAGCAGGAATTTCGGCACATTTTTTTTTTCTGTAAATTCCGTACGTTATGGAAATTTTCTTTTTTTTCATGAGGCACCAAAAATAACGTCTTATAAACTTACATTTCCACATAGATGTCGTGTTCTCAGGTGACGAGCCCTTGTTACAATCAATTAATTAGGTTGTCGATATCTGTACATTTTGAAACTTTATCGGTACGAAAACTTTATAATTTAAATTACAATCTCCAATATTTAAAATCCGGATTAAAATTAGAGTTTTTGGATATCCGAATATTCCCGAATGACCTTTTTAAATATGTAACCAGCATAAAAAAAGAAATAAAATAAAAACGATACAATATTGTAAATTTCTGTTTGTTAAACAATCAATACTTTGTTTTCATTACTACAATAATTCTTCTCATTTTTTTAATACGAACGTTTTAATTTCATTTAAGGTCCGAATAAACAATTACACGACGTTATCAAGGATATTTTATGTTTTTCATTTGCCGCATAAAAAAAAAAAATAAAGATTTAATAGTAATTAAGTGTGACAAATCACCGTGTAATACGAAAGAAATTGACAATGTTTTATGGTCATGAATGTTAGTAAACATGCAATCCAAGAACGAAAGAAAGATGTTGAATGTGAAATGAAATAAACTTTTGCACTCCAATTCTTTTTAATTCGCTAAAACATTGAGATGAAAAAACCTTTCGAAATAAGTTTTCTTTTGTGTAACTAAATTAATTGCTAAATATTTTTGTATAAAGTTAAAAATTCTTGTAATATAAATAAAAAAATAATGTTGAAAAAAAAAAGACCTTTTTCTTTCGAAAATATCATTCCAAGATATCGCGTTTTGGTGTTTTGTGTTTGAGAATGAACGAACTTGTGTATTTATTTACAATGAATGGTAAAGGCAACAAAAAAACCACGTTCATAACACAACACTTTCATTGTTGCCGAATATTAATCTGCAATACAGATGATGATCACGCACGTCTTCAATGAAAAATTTGTTTTTCTTTCAACTTTTTTCACTCATTAAAAACAACAAAATGGGCATTTGCTGAACAATGATTTCAATCGTTCAAGAACAAAAGAAATTAAATTTTAAAAAATTTTTTGTATTTATTATGGAATCAATGATAATTAATTACAAGTTATTATTATTATTGTTATTTTTTTTTTTTGTTTTTTTTTTTTTTTATGTATAAATGATAAAAAAAAAAACAAAAAAAACCAGCAATATGTATAAAATATATATATAAAATGAAAAATACACAAAAGTTGAATGTAAAAAATTTCTTCTTTTTTAAAAATAAGAATTTTAAAAATTGGACAATTTACATAATCAGAACTCAAATTTTTTTTTTTTTGAAAACTACAATAAATAAGCAATAAATAAACATAAAACAAAGAAATTATATACAAAAACAAATTAATCGTAACTAGGGACAATTTTTTTTTTTTTTTTTTTTTTTTTTTTTTTACAAAAAAGAAAATCTAATCGTCGAAATTATAAGTATAAGCTTCAACATAAGGTCTCGTTTGAAGGTGACCGCGATATGGTGGAGGTGAAGCGATGGGACGTGGAGGAGCTTTCTCATTATTGTTACTACTGGAAGAAGGTCGCCGTTCAATTGGATAAGGAGGTAATTTCGATGAGTTTGGAGGAGAGGTGGGTGAAGGCATCCCATCGTTAAAGTGTTCGGATGTAGATATTGGTGGGGGTATCGGAGTCGACGGAGGAGGACTTAAAGGAGGTGATTTTGGAGCCCCGGTTGGACTAACGTAAAGAGAAAGGGTGGAAGAAGATGAAGAGGGTGTCGGAGAAGGAGAATTATTATTATGCCGAAAATTATTGTACAAGTTTTTTTGTTGATACATATGTTGTTGTTTTAATAAAGCCAATTCAATTTGTTTTTGTTTGTATAACCAATAATACTCATTAATATTTATGTTATTGTTATTTACTGAATGTTCTAGAACATTTTGATGTTGATTGACATGATTTAATGAAAACTTGTTTGCATACCCATCTGAATGATAAGAAAATGGCGGAGGTGGTGGAAATTCTGAAAGCGAAGAAGGTGATCTTCCCATAGACGCGTTATGTAAATGTTGTTGGGACATCAACAATTGCATATCGGGATGATTCTTGTCAGGATATGCGTATCGATCACCACCGGTTGGGATTCCAAATCCATTATTATTGGATTTCATGTCCCTTATATCAATGCTGATTTCATCAGGATCATAAACGGATTGATTTGGAGAGTATTGACTAATAATTGACGCATCAAACGTTGGAGTGTGAGGTGAAAGCAAAGTTCTTGCATTATGAATGCTGCTACTGCTACTACTACTACTGCTGATATTATTGATATTATTATTCAATGAAGTTGGTGGTGGCATGGATGGAGGCTCGACGGTGAATTTTTCATGTATGTTTGCCACCCTAACGCTTTCTTCAACTTGGAAATCCATATCAGCTCCCCATAAACAAAATTTGATGCAAAGTTGATGAGTGATGCTTATGAAACGACCGGAATAAGTTGGTTGCACACTACGAGGTACGAATAAATTGATGGTATGAACGCATTCACCTTCGTAATGATGTGAAAGGGGTTGTATATATCTGATCTCTTGCCTCGGAATCAAAAGGGAGGCCGCTTGTTCCTTGGTATGACGAGTTTCATTCGGATTATTACATCGAAAATCCATACAAGTTTTCAATGATATTTCGACTCGTTCAACACTTATACCAGGTCTTAAGAAACGAATCCTCATCGGTATAGAAACGTAAGTTCCAAGGTTAAAACTTTTGTTTGGTGGTAAAACAAACGTATAATCCAACCCACTTCTCGATTCACCACGTAATTTATAAGGGGTATTGTTTGAACCGTCTAAGTTAATGGTTCTCCTGAGAGGACAGTTAACTTCAATAACTTGAGTCGGAGAAGAAACCAATCCCCCCTTTCTGTTTATGATGGCGCGTAAAGTGTAATTTACCGATCCTACTTCGGTCGTAATCGTTTCGGGAAGATTATAAGGTAATTTTACTTGAAAAGGAATGTCAAGACAGTTGATCGACCCTTCCTGTTCCTCCTGTTCCCAAATTTTATAAGTTTGATCGACAAGGATCTGCTCCCCCGTGTACAACGCTTTTGATCTCGCTTGCGCCTTATGCCATGACGTTTTTTCAACGCCTTTTAAATGTAAGAGAACATTTTTAACTTGATGAGTTTTTTGATATTTGAGATGAAGGATACCGACTAATTGACTGTCAGAGTCACCAAGCGTTCCTTGTTGAAAGGAAACACAATCCTGCGCATACGAGAACGTAGCATTTTTATGAGTTTTGATATATGTAGGGCGATTTGTGCCGGACGAATTTGTTGGTGATGTTGTTGTCATTTTTTTCTTTAAAAAAAATAGAAGAATGTATAAAGAAGGTAGAAAGTGTCAAATGAAGTAGTTGTCCCGACAACGAATTGAATTTTCTATTAAATGATTTAAATTAGAGAAAATTTTTTGAAAAGGTATCAAAGAATTTAATCAATCATTCACTGTATTTTTTTTTTTTTTAAAAAAAAATATATATATATATATAATGTAGAAAAGTTTCTAAATATTGTTCTATATCTAGCTTTTATAATGCAAGAAATGAATAAAATAAAATATAATTAAAAAATAAAATGTAGTTAAAAAGAAAAAAAATCTCGTAAGAATGGATAAGAATGGACCAAAAAAAAAAATAAGTATCTAAATTCGTTTTTTTTTTTTTTTTAAAAAAAAATATATTTTTTTTCTATGGGAAAAAGATTGTAATGGGTTTATCATGCAAATATATAATATATATATATATCTCAAAAGGAATGATTTTTTTTAAAAAAGAAGAATTAACAGGTTAATACTGGTTCATGACTCTTTTTATAAATATTCGTATTCATGTCATACAAGATTACAGTTTAACTACGTGTTACAAGAGATATATTATCGAACTTAAAGAATAAATTTTGTGTCAATCAACAAAGAAAACCCTCCAAGTTTATTTTATATTAGAAACTGCATGTGTATTAAATTAATGCACGTTGTTGTTAATCATAAGCAACAATTCGGAAGTCATGCATGATTTTTTATATTTTTATTTATATTACTGATAAGGAATTGGTGATCGACCGCAAATTCGATATTCGGATGAGAAACTGAATGAAATCATCTTGTTATCAAGTTAAAATATATGTTTGTACCATGCTACTATCTTCGAATTTCGTAATCGATCAGTACATATAATATCAGAATGATAATGCAGGTATCACGTTACATAAAAGGAATATTTTTTGACCCGATTTAATAATTCGGGAACACCAAATGTATTTTGCTCCATATGGAGGGAAAATCCTTGACCAGACCAAACATAAAATTTATGATTTTACAGTTTTACACCAAATTATAAATATTTACTAGAAGAAACGACACGATTTGAGTGATGTTTTTGGTTTGTGACAAAACCTTTTACGACTTGATTTGTTTAATAAGGTTAACGTACCTTGCATTACAATAAAAAAGTTATCTTCCCAAGTGCTACAAAATCAAAAAAAAAAAATATTGCATTGATTCAATCGTCGCCATTAACGAATTATCAATAATGAGTTATGTTCCTTTTTTGGCCTTCGCAGATCGTCATTTCTCAATGAGGAATGAAAAATCAATAATAATAAGTTAATCACCAAATCATTTTTAGACAATAAATAGGATGAAGCTAACCTTTAATTTACAGAAGTACCGAAACTGATATTTTGCATACCGAAATTTTATGTTCAATAACATAATGGTGTATAACCCTTTTTCTCGTTAAACGAAAACAAATAATAGAAATTTTATCATAAATATTTATAAATAATCGGAAAATAACATACCATGTCATGTAGAAAAAACGAGCACATAACATATAATGACCCGAATTATCCAACTCGTGGCAATGTGGTTGATATTGAATTTCTAAAACTAGTTTATCATAGGAAAAGTTGTAAGATAAACATAAAAATTCGTAAACAGATGAGATATATTTCGACAAAATCATTCGTGTCGATGGAGGATGCCGCCGTGTACCTACTACCTATTACATGAATTACAAAAAAATGTCAATAAACAACAATTTCATTAATACGTAGTATTTAATTCATTCCATTGTATTAAAATGTAGAATTATCGGACCTTCCGTGAAATCATTGTCGTATCGGGTATTTTTTTTGTGAAATGGCATCACAAGTAAGTAAATATTCTAAATATTCTTTCTCATTGGGACAAACAAATTTCGATCGCTCCATCTATTCATTGGTCACCACATATTAGATTATTCCGTCTGCATATGTTTAATGATAAGGTAACCAAGCAAATTCCGTTAGATACGAAAATTATTAATTATACCCTGACACGAAATCATCAATTATCGTATTCATGGGTATTGATAATTTCCTTATTAGGTTCGCTGCTTTCTCTATTGGTGCTTCTCGAACATGTAAAAAAAGAGAAGATATTATATGTATGACTAAATTTTAAATTCGAGTCAAAAAAATAAGTTTTTGAATTAAAACAAGACCTTAATCTAAACCAAAAAAAAAGGTTTTAAACAATTATGTCAAGTCTCGATTATGAAAACTTTTTTCTTTTTTTTTTGTTTATCAGGATGATTAGTGATAAACGTTTTATTTTTTTTTTTTTGACATGCATGCAGGGACTAACTTTTTTCTGATATTCCAAAAACATGTGCTTAAATCATCATCAATTGGAAAACTTGAAAAACGGATTTCATTGGAATTTACCCATGCAAGAGCAAACTATTTGCAAACGTCAAAAAGTCTATAGTATACATGATTGATTTTATGAGATTTCTACACGAAATTTCGATTTAACAAAATTTTATTACATTTTCTTGTGCAACTTTTCAGATCACATGTCTTTACGGTGTCTCGTGACTCGATTTTAGGACCCTTGAAAATCGTTACCAATTTGAGTTATTTTACATTTTTAACCTCCTGTGTTCAAAAGAGATCGTGCATCATTCATTTTCCATTTCTCCTGCCTGAGTGATCATCGGTCATCTCGTAATCTAATGTTTTTTTTTTCCCTATGCATTATCAAGTAAACTTTGATTTAATTTTTCCAAATTAATCAATTTCTAACCTGCGGATTTCATGCACGGTAAATTAAAAATTTTTTCGATAGGAAAAAAGTTCGGACAATGTCATAACTTGCATAAAAAAAACTCCTCGCTTTATAACAAAGATTATTTAGGCTGAAGCGGACTATCTTTATTTTTTTTTTGAATTTTATTTGAATTTGTGCATATTAAATATGATTGTTTGTTATTTTAAATGTGACCAGTTAATAAAATTTTGATTGGTTAAAATCAACCAATACATGCTTACAAAGCATTAAACTTTCATTAGATGAGATTTTACTTGTACCATACAATTTTTTATCAAAAATAAAGAAATTCGTATCTAAAAATTCATTCTCCGACAAACAACAAATCTGATTCTTATTACAGAATTCTCTAGTTAAATTTTTATTTTAATTCCGACCATGCAATTCAACCGAAGTGACAACTCTAAAGTAATAAATATGGGGAGTAAACTCTAAAAATAAAAAAATTTTTTTGAGTTAATGATAAGTCTGGACTTATTTTACTATAAAAAAAAAAATCATATTTAGCATATAAAGTAATTTTTTTTCTAATTTCTAAATTATATGCTAATTTTCATATGAAGGATTCGGAAATTTTTCATCCCGTAGAACATTGTACTTGTTTTGTATTTTAATCGTATGCGCGATCCGATCATTTGAAATTCGATCATCCGGTCAAAATTCGGATTTGAACCACACGTTTTTTTTGATAGGATTATATACTTATCATAAAAATTTTGAACGGATTTCCATTCAATAATTAATGATGTCATTAGACATATTCTATTTTATTTATAAATTTAAGGTGTAACAAAAAAAGCTTTGTATTACAACAATCCGGAAATTGTGCGATTTTTTTTGAACGGCATACGGATTCAATTTTTTTAACCGCAATCCGGATTATCCGGATTTGACAAGATCACACCTCTAATACGCAACATTGCTGATCACATTTGACGTTATTACTTGAAGAAATATAAATACAAATGATTTTTACCTGATTGTCCTTTTCAACTTCATCAAAATGTTAATAAAATAACATTAACCTTTCTCCTTCGTTTTCTAAATAAATTCTGGTCTTATGACGGTTCATTTCAGTTTTTTTTTTTGAACCAATACTACCTCTGAGATTAATAAAAAAAAAAAGAGCGCATTTTGAGATAAATACACAGGCTAGTAATGGCTTACATAATTAATTTCATTATTATATTGTATTGATATTTTGAATTCCTTTAAATTTAGTACGCGGGAGCTCGTGATTATCGTTAGCACTAAAAATATGTGCTCGAATTATCTTGTACTGGAACTTCAATTATTTTTATTTCCCAGCCCTCTCGTCGTTCTTTGAATTTTTCTATATCTTACGTGAATTCATTATTTCCTTTTTAAACTGTTTAGGGTAAATGCTCAGCAGAGAAATTTATGTTCACGTGATTATACATCTTTCATAACTAAATACGGACAAGATCCACGTACCCGAATCTTCCGAATGAGAGACAATGCAATCACAAATTTTATTAAATGAAAAATAAAAAGGTATTTAACCCCTTTGTTATATATTTTCGACAGGAAAAAAAAATAAGATAAAAAAAATCTCTTTCGTAAAAAAAAAAAAAAAAAACAAATAAATAAGGTTATATAAATAAAAAAAACCTTGTTTTGCATAGAAAAATATTTCACAAAAAAATGGCCGATTGCACCGACCCAGAAATTTGTATGTACTGTATAGAATATAAACAATAATATAAATTTTTATATCTGATTATGTAATTTATATGATCATATCATAGGCGAAGCATATGAAGAAGTACGAGATGATAAAAACGAAACTAGCTGGTAAAATTTTTAACCAGATTTATTTATTTTTTCTTTTACCTTTCATTTCGAGATTAATCAAGTTAATTGTTTTTTTTATTTGCCAATCTAATTCTTATTTAGGTTAATTCTTCAATATGTCTCGGATAGATCAGATAAATTGATATTAAAATCAAAAGGAACAGGAGGGTTACAAGAATTTGTTGAAAAGTTAGATGAAAATCAAGCAGCATTTGGATATATAAGACTTAATGTGTCAAATGATGAATTATCTGTAAGAACTAAATTTATTTTTATCACTTGGGTTGGTAGTGGCGTTAAAATTATGAGAAAGGCCAAATTATCCGTACACGTTAGTGATGTAAAAAAAGTTCTTCGGGTGAGTTCATTACTTTGCTTTTTTTTTATAT